AATCCATTGGTTCCATTAATGAGCCCTGCTTGATTCCTCGATCACGATTGCGATCGTTCTCGATTGCATCTTTGAGAGCATCTCTTCTTTCTCCCTCTCCCTCTCCCTCGTGTTGCAATAGCCGATGACAAAGATTTCTCGTCATCTAGCGACGTCGAAGCGGAGGAAGACGAGGATTGCTAGCTCTAGAGCGATCAAGGCGATGATCTCAAGGAGACCGTCCTCCAAGGTTTGGAGGACGGAACTCTAGAGGATTGCCACTGGTCCGTGTCTTCGGTATGTCGTGCTCTAGATCTCTCTCCTCTTTTGAGTAGGGTTAGGGTTCCATTGATGAAATTTGTCATCTTTTGTTGTTTTGAGTTTTTTTGGGAGATGGATTTTGGAAATGATCGCAATTGGGTTTGTAATTTGCAAGTGATAAGAATTTGTTCTGTTTCTTACTTTTTTTTTTTTTTTTTTGAGAGATGGGTTTAAAAATGATCACAATTGGTAATCTTTGTTATTGTTCATTGACATGTAATAATTAGAAGAAAGTTTTGGAAGAGTAACAATGCATGCATTTCTCAAGGACAAAAAATTAACTTTCTTGATATCACTGTTGAAACTGTCAATAGGATGAAGGGATTTTCGTGGTTGTTGCAAAATATGAAGGATATGGAGAAGCCTTGGAGGAAAAAGGGGGTTTAAGTCCCTTAAATCTTTAATTTTTGCAATTAGCACTATCGAAAACCCAGAAATAAATTTTTTTAACATCTTCTGCTGCAGTTTGTCTCTGATATTTTATAAGGGGAGCACAATAATTAAACATGAGTTTTTACTGTATCAACTAACTTCGCATTGAAATAAAAAAAAAGGGTAACTTTGTATTGTATTCTACTACAACAGGGGAGATTGTTTTCTGATTTTAAACCATTATGATATTTGCATTGTGCTTGAATTTGAGTTTAATATAGTTCTTTTTTGACTGTATGAGCAACTTATACTTTTATTTCAAGTTCCAGCACATTAAGGCATAACAAGTTTGTTGAGTTTTGTTCTTTTCTATAATTTGTAAAGTAACTCTGTTGTTAATTCACTAATTAACAGGATAAAAGGGTGAGGCTGTTATGTTAGAACATCAACTTCTTGGGGCTGTTATGGTATCAGAATCAAGTCTTGGAAGGTAATCTACTTCTTGGGGGATTAATTCTCATGAGTCTAAACATAAGTTAAGCATATATCCACATAACTCGCTCCTAATTTGAGACTAAACCCATCCTTAAATTGAATGGATGTGGGACACTACTAAAAAATGATGTCGCAAATGTAGCCCAGAGTATGGTCATGTATGCCTGTACAAAATCCAATCTTCGCCCTCTTAAGGTTCAGGGTTA